TGCATTACTAAAGCTATCATCCCACAAGCCTGTATGGCAACCTGAGTCAATGCAGAAACAGCAGCATTCTGAGAACATTCAAGATAGTGCTTTTCAAAAGCAACACCAGCACGATGAGCTATTTTAGAAATTTACTGTGTTCTGGAACAGAGTACCTTTGTATGTTTGCCAGTAAGTACAAGAGGGAACATTTCAACTAAAAGATTGGTGCAAATTGCACTTTTATCTAGTAAATTAAGCAAATTGCACTTTTATCTAGTAAAATCAAGAATCACAGTGCCTGCGAGGAATAGTTAAGCCCATTCTAGGAGAACACACTTATGCCTTTGTGCTCTGAACATAAAAGATTTTTACACGGAGACAGATCCCTACCAATTAATACCTTTCTTGTTACAATAAAGCAGCAGAACTACCAGTTCAGATGTATAGCTTTTAAATTGTTGATGGTGCATATCTTAACAAATTCTTTACAAATGTTCAGGATTCTTTAAGGGACACAATTATTCGGGATAGAGAGCTATAGGGACTTTCATTTATGTGGATGAATACTTTTTAAAAATTCATAAAATATGAAAATAAACTATTCTTTTCAGTTGCTGGGAACTGGAAATATTCTGTTCTTGTTTGAATTACATACATACTTATATCTCACTTTTCAGTAGATTGCATATATTGCCCCAAAAGTTTTTGGTCAAATAAAGACTCAGAACCAGTGTTGATGGGTTGCAATGAAAGGTAAATTTGGTCAAGGCTGCAGGTACAGTTTTCAGCAGCTTTAATGCTATTTCTGATTCTTAGATAGTATAGGAAAAAATTACAAAGAGGGTTGTGAAATACTGAATCAGTTTTCTGCTATCAAAGGTCTTTAACAACTCTTGACTACACATTTACTCTCACAACTGTGCCGTCTAGCAAGAAATGTGGAAAAATTTATTTTAAAAAGCAGCATTCCAGGCAAAGAGCAAGTGTTTCTGAAACTCACTTTTTTTTCCTGGACTATGGATTTCCCACTTCCAGTTTAGGAGAAGAGTAATGAAAAATATTCTGTCCTCTAGATAGGGAAGTGTGGTATTTGGAGCTGTTTTCTCAAAAGCTGTTGTGATTCCAAATAAAAGTCAGGCTACCATAATTTATGTTGTTGGCAAGAGCTGGAATCATGACACCTGCAATAAGTAAGCTCTCTATGTGGTGTTGGGCAGTATCTCATAAATCATGAGGTTTGCCAGCTGCTTGTCAGAGAAGAAAATCCTATATATAAATTTAGACCCACACAAGTGGTTCCTGGATGCAGGGGCTTGCAGATCATACCCTCTGATCCACCTTCAACACCTTGCCAATATTACACCCTGCTAGTGCTCTTCTCTTGGGAAAACCTCTTTATGGCTTTGACAGGAAAGGTTCAGAAGTCTGTTTTATAATGAAGAAAGCACAGCAGTAAACTGCCAATCCAGCTCATTGCTGTATGAATTTAGTATATAAGATTAAAAGGAATGGCAGCTAATATTTTCAAAACATTATTTTTCTATTTAGGTGTTTTAAATTAAATTGAGATGTGTGAATAAAATTAGTCCACCTTTCAGGAGAACTTGGCAAATCAATTTTCAGCTGAAAGTTTCCACCTTGTACTGGTTCTGGATGTGATAGTGTTAACTTCATAGCAGCCTGGATGATGCCTTGTGACTAAAGCAGCCTTGATAACACACATCAATGTTTTGGCTGCTGCTGAATAGTATTTGAGCAGTGTCAAGGCTTTCTCTTTTTGGGAGGGAACATAGCTCGGACAGCTGACCTGAGCTGGCCAAAGGGATAGAAGTTATATGGACTGTTACATCATATTCAGCAATAAAAACTGGGGTAGAGAAACAAGAAGGGTTTTGGCTTCTGAGGTGGCTTTGTTTGGAAACTGGCTGAGCATTACTCTTCCTGTGAGAAATTGTGAGAAATGTCTTTCTCTTTGCTGTTTGCTGTGTTAGTATGTTTTTTTTTTTCTTCCCCATGTTAAACTGCCTTTATCTTGATGCAGAGATTTTCTTGGTTTTGCTCTTTTGTTTTCTCCCCTCACCCTGTGTGAGTGCTTGGATACTGGCAGGGGGCAACCCACCATGCATCTGTAATAATCTCAGGTATTGACTTTTTCACTAGACTGAAAAAGCTGCAGCATCTTTTATTTGTAGCCCATGCAATTAAGGAAATCTTTGATCAGCAACCCTCCTCTGGATGCTCTCTAATAGGTTCATAACCTTCATATGTTATGGTGCCCAAAACTGCACACAATATTCAGGGTGAGATCAAACCACTGCAGAGTAGACTGGGAAAATCACCTCCCTCAACTGGCTCACAATGCACGGTACCATGACTCATGTTTAACTTGCCATCTGCCAGGACCCCTAGGTCCCTTTCCATGTTGCTGTTTTCCAGAATCTGATTCCACAGTCTGTTTGTACACCCAGGGTTGCCCCATCCCAGGTGCAGAATCTAGCACTTGCCCTCACAGGAGTTGACAGTTCCTCTGAGTTTCAAATAATTCACAAACTTACTTAGTATGCTTTTAAGACCTGCATCCAAGTCATTTATGAAGAGAACTGGCCCTAAACTGGAGTTCTGTAAGGGTTTGCATATAGAGGATAAAACAGTTGGTTTCATATATGCATCATCTGCTGCTTACCCACTCACCATGAGTTATTGCCACCTCCAGTACAGGGCAGAGATTTGTACGGTAATGTGCAGTCCTAGAACTTGCTGTTTTGAAGAAGTGAAAGTTTTACTTATATCTTTGTTTTCCTCCCTGGCTGAATGTATCAGTAGTATATCCACGTACCAGTGTTTCACTCTGCTAATCTAGAGCTTTCATTAGCAAAAGTATCTTACTGTTAACATTTTATGGACTTAAAGATTAGGGATACTGTTTTGCTTCATTCATTGGAAGAGAATTGGAGTACTAGTTGGTCAAGTTTATTTCAAAGATTGCTCTTTAAAGAAAATAGGAGTTCAGCCCAAATAGATGTGAACTATTTTATTTGGTAGATTTACTTGGAGAATTTTCAGATTCAAATATGAGTTTGTCCTGCTGCATATAAGGCATACTCTGATGTGGTAACCAAAAGAAAAATTTTTTTTTTTTTTAAATAAGCTATTAGCTTTTGTCAGATTTTTTCCCCTTTAGAAGATACTTCCATTAACAGTTCAACCATTGATCTATAATTCTGAAGACAAATTAATTTCTTGTAGTCGAAATTGTTCTCGAGTTATGTTTTCTTCTTCTATTTTCTTCTCTCTTTTTATTTATTTATTTACTTATTTTCATGTGTGCAAAGGCTTTTTTTGTGTATCATCTGTTTCTGAGCACAATAAGCACAAAGCATTCTACTGCATCTAAGTGTGGTACACATTAGAGTGTGGATGTAACTAAAGCAAGCAAACCTTATACTGTGAATGCAGGAAGGTACCATAATGTTTTTACAAGTTTTGCAGATCTGAATAATTAAGATATAGGAGACTGAGTAAATAATCTGCCAACTCTCCCAAGCTGAAATGTATCCACAGAGAAAACAAAAAGCTAAGAAAGCTGTCTTTCATCACTTTTTGTATTGAAATGATTCCTTCTGCGAATGTCTTTGTTGTACCAAAGCATGACTGGGTTCACAATGCTTGTACAGACCTTGCTAGCTGTGGTTAAGGGAAGTTTTCACATAAGCACACAGCAAGTATGTGAGCAGCAGGGAATGAATGAGGAAAGGGGAAAAGAAAAAAGAGAAAATCCCTTACCATGGCAGGATATAATTTGCTCAGGGTTTTATTGATTTATTGGTTTATTTATTTATCATATTTTTTTTTATTGCTCCTGCTGAGGTTTGTGGTTAGTGGTGGCATGGCAGAGTTTTGGTTGAGAGACTTTACTTGACAAAGTAAGACAAAAAGAGAAGGATGGGATGCTGAAATGTATAATCACTAGGCTTTAGGACAGTTTTTCCAAATATAAAGTTATGTATGCACAGAGACTAGATGGTTGAATTCCTTAAAAGTATTTTTGCAAAAATTGACACATCTTACAGATTAGGTCTGAAAAAGCATTAAAACGAGCAAAAATAAGGCTGAGCATCTTCCAAATTCTTTTTTTCACTTTCTACAAAGGAAAACTCATTTTTATAGAGTTCTACTGTATGTTACATGTTTTGTTTTGAAACTACTGTACTTCAGTTAAAGTTTGTTGGCTAATGCTAAATTATTCATTCTTTTCAGTTTATACTTGGTTTAATGATAATGATAATTTCATTTGTAAAATGTGAGTCATTTGATTTTAGCCATCTTCTATATTTGTTTAATGTGAGAAGTTAGTATCATATACGAAACTTTCAAAAAGCTACCTGTTGGGATTCTTTTAGTGTTAGTGAAATACATAATAAAATACCAGTCCATTAAGGTATACATATATATGTAATGGTTTTAAAGCAAATACAATGTAGAATTCTAAGCTGAAAAAATTATCATGTATGTATACAGAATTTATCATTTTGTGTGATTTTGGGATATGCTTCTAAAACAAATTTTGGCATATTCTTCAGGAATGTGTTTAATTTGTGGATACTATTTTATTTCAATTAGTTTTGAGGAAGGAAAGATCATGATAATTGTATAGGCAGAAAGGCATGTTCTCAAATGTCAGGCTTCTTGGCGTTTGGGAGTATTGTTTCTTGATGTCTGAGTTTTACTCTATCATTCTCCATTTTCTTGAATATATATTCCAAAAATATTGTTATTGCTTTTCAAATTTATTGCAATTTTTCTACATTGACTGTATTTTGAAGATACTGAAATACAGAACAGATCAGGAAATAACTAAACATTGAATCTGAGACATTGGTTTGTTGCTTGGTTTATTAGTTTGGGGTTTGGGTTTGTTTGTTTGGGGTTTTTTTGTGCATTCTTATCCTGACTATACTGTCTGAGGTGTATTACATCAGTTATTTCCTGTGGGCTGATGTTCACACATTCCATTGCAGGTCAGTTCCTCCTAGAAGAATCCCGCCTGATAGAAGCAGCTGAAATGGCAAAAAAAGCAGCTGAACTTGATAATACGGAATTTGATGTTGTTTTCAATGCAGCCCATATGCTCAGGTTAGTGCTTGTACATCTGCCTCACTTGATTTTCCTCTTCTTTTGGAGGAAAAAAGTCTTTATAGCCTTTGCTTATGCAGGATTCTTTTTAAAGCTCAGCAACTCTTTTGAATAATTCAATAATATTGCTAATAAGATACAAAGAAGTGGAATTAAACTGTTGCAGCATTTAGCACTTTGCATTTCTTAAATTCTGTTTATTATATCATAATTTCCTACCTTCAAAACTTCTGTTTTCACAAGCAGGAAATGTATTTTGCTTGCATATGAGAACAAGCGTTTCTTTGGTGAAGAACCTTCTGTAACATTTCCTTTCACCTGACTTTTAAAATTTTAGTGTGCATATCAACTGAAAAGAGGAAGAGGAGACCATATTTCTCATCTGGATGTAAATAGAGAATATTGAAAATTTCTGATAATATCAGAACATTATGATAATTTGCAATCTAAATATTCCCAGGCTGATAATTACTTTGAGATGCATAGGAGCACTTAGTGATATTCTCAGAATCTGTGATTTAAAATGTAAACTTATATTTAATTATCTCTGTCTGAATAGAACAAAGCTTTGGACTTCTATTTTACCTTTTAAAGCTGTCAGGCCTGGTTATTCCATAACATTAAGCTTCTGTCTATGAGTTTAACATTATTTTATTAACTCACATTACTGTCATAGGTATCCTCCATGCTTATTTCTAGGATAACTATCTAATTATTGTCTATTGTCCACTTAACAGCTATAAGGATACTTGATTTCATTTAGATGGTGTCTAAGCATAGAAAATGCATGAAAAAGGAAATTTAAAAAATATACTTCATTAGCACAAAGCAGTTGTTGAGATAATTTCTCTGCTGAAGATATCTTACTAGGCTTTTTTATATTTTAGCGTTTTAAATAAGAAATGAAAGAAAGAAAGAAAAATACTATAAAAGAGAGGGTAGAATCAAAAGTTATTTTTTAAAAATAACTTACTGCTTGTAGATTAGAAAGGAAACCAAGACAAATGGCTCATTGATAAACAACAGTTTGACGTGGCAGAGGTGTATGAGCTATTTTAAGGATCCTTCCCTTCCCCAGGATTGTTTTGTGAATGATATGCTCAAGACAGAATTCAGTAATTTGAAACATTTAGATTAAAGTTACAACTTCACAGACAGAAGAACAGTAAGTTAGGCATGACAGCTGAATTTAGAAAGTTATAGAGGGGTAAGATTCTTCATTTTACTGTGTGTGTTTTAGAAGATGGTTTCGTGGCATGATTGTGTGTATTATAAAATGTGGTGGTGTAAATCAATACTATTTTTGAAATAGCTTTAATAAATCTGCTTTCTCTGTGAGCACTGAGTGTAGCATTTGAGGTCTTTGAAGCACATTTATTGGCATCTGGATATGAGTATTTTTTCACTTTCAAAGTAATAGCTATGCTGCTGTGCTGTACGTCAGCCACAGTTACCCTACTTGATCTGGTTGGGAGTGTACTGTTTTTGGGAGGCCTTGACAAGCAATGATCTCAGAGATTCTAAGCTGCATTCTCAATTTTTACTGTAAGTGCAAAGCCAAAACCTTCAAAACCAAAGAAAATGCACTAAACTGAAACACTTAAAAAAAAAAATAGGCCTGTTTTAGTTTAGCTAGAATCCCTTGTGCTGCTTTGGGATACCCAGTTGATCTAATTTTTCACTTAATTCTCAGCTCTCTTTGTGGAAGATCATAATGTCCTCCTAATACTCTCTGAGAGTCTAAAGCAGTCTGTAGGGTTTAGAAAGAGTCAGGGTGGCAAAGCTGAATTCAGTGCTGACAAATATTTGCTCAAAACCCCATGTGTTAGCATCTGACTGATTTTTCCTAAAGGTTATGATTTTGTTATCCGTCCTTGTTCACTGCTCTACTTAGCAATTAATTCAAATATATTGCTTCTGTGATACATGTTGGACAAGGGCAATGCATATTCATTCATTGTAACAGAGGAGCTACAAATCCACCTGGAGTCTGGCTCTTCAGAAGCAGATGATTTTCAGGATCTTTAGAACAATGGAGGGCTGAGGTGATTCCAGGAGGAGAACAGATACCAAGACACAGAGGACAGAAAGAAGGGAGTACTCCAACTGGCACAGAGTGACACTGCTAGAAATGGAATGCTAAAGACAGTCATAAATGAAAGGCTGACATAATTTCAAGTAGGTGACCAACTGCTCTTTAGGTACCCTAGAGAGCTATAAAAACTGACTGGTAAGTGAGTAAGGATTTTGAATGAACTGCACAGCTGTGAGATAGAAAATACATTATAGAAGTTCACAGAGCATGAAAATGAAATGACTCTTGTGAGAGACACGGGATAAATTTTAAAGACGTGTTGTGGAATAAGAGACAGAAATTGATATTAATGGGGATGATGCAAGGTTTCCAAAATGACTGTAAGATAATAACAGAGGCTTAGATTTTTATATAGATTCTGATATTTTCTTTTTCAGACCAAATACTTTGCACAGTGATATATTTTTGAATTAGGAAGGAATCATCTTTCCCTCCTCTCCTACTGCTGTTTCCACCATTAGCCTAAGGAGTGTCACAAGACCGAGAAATATGAAGACATTTCTTGGTTTACAGCTGTTTTGGATAGAAAATAAATATACTATTCTCTCAAAATACAATTAATTTTTCTAGTCTAGTGCTTAAGTATTTTCCTTTTTTTTTTAAATCTCCCTACTTGCTGGGAAAAAAAATTAAAATGCAACCTAAATAAAAATGAACAACTTCTGAAAATTTAGAACTGGAGTGCTGCAAGTTAAATTTCTTTTTCTTAAATTTGCAACAGCATTGTTAACTGGATCCAAATGCAGTAGCTGTATTTATAGATAGCCTGTTCTCAGTTTAACAGTCACAAGAAGAATGTCTGCTCTTTCAATCAGATATTCCAATGTTCCTGATTTTCTCTCTTTGTGACTGAATCTGAAGTAAAAAAAAATAATGACTTCGTTCTGTTTGCATTATTGAGAGACCTCCCCTTTCCTAATTACATTATAGTTATTAATTTTTTTTCCTAAATGACTTCTGTAGCAACCCATTAATGCAATGCAAGATGATTCAAGTCATCTGTGAGAGGGCTGAGATGTGCGATGAATGCAATTAATTTCATTGCAACAGTCTGGTAACTTTTAACTTGTGTAATACTTGTCTGTAAAATTCATTTTCTCAACAAATTTGTTTTCCAGACAGCTTACTTCAAGGGTCATGCAGCCATTTGGGTGGTTCCTAAAGCAGTATCTGGTCATGTGTTTTATGTTTGCAGTATTTGCAGTGCTCCTGCTTAGAGGAGTTTGCAGTCTCCCAGCCGAGCAGTGAGGCGTGCGCGTGACGCTGCTCGGTGGCTGAGCCCTGTGTTAGCAAGGGCCACTGTTCACTTTGCTCTCCTGGCCCAGGGGAGCTGCCAGGAGCAAGGCAGCTCATGGGTAGCAAGGCACCATGTGAGAGAGGGAATGAGCATTTCTAGAATGAAGGGTGGCAGGGTGGTGGCACCGCCATAGTAATTAGAAACAGGAAAAGAATTTCACCTTGCCTCCACATGAAAACAGATTTAGGAAAAAGACCTCTTTGCTTAAAAACACATTTTGTCGGAAAAATTCATTTTTCCAGGCTTTTGTGAGAGGGTTTTGTTCTGGGAAAATCTCATGTGACATGAAGTTACAGGATGTTTATTGGCTGTTGAAAAAAGAAGTCTAAATTAGAGCAGCACTACATTACATGGTCTTTATTTTTCAGTGATTTTCTGCAAGAGTGTTTTTGGCTGTCCCCAATACATTGACCAAACATGGAGTGTAATTGCTGATACAGTACCATAGGCACAACTTAACTTAACCCTGTGTTATTGTCAGGTTATATTGAACCTATATTTGCTATCTAAAGCATCTTAAATATATATGTAGGGCAAAGCATATAGTCTATATAGATTTTTTAAACAAAAAAGAACAACTATGGATAAATGGTTCATTGCAACAGAGCCGCTGATTATAAAACCTGATAATCTTGTTGTTACACAAAAAGGTCCATTAAGAAAGCCATTCAGCATTTTAAAATAGGAATTGCTGAAGAAAATTTCTCTGTAGATGTGCTGACATCTATGATTTTACTGTAAAAATCAACAGTCTGAAGCCTTGTACCAAGCAGCAGGTACAAGGTACCAAGCAGCATGTTAAAACTCACCGTTTCTCACTCACGTGTATCTGAATAACTCAGCGTTGGTGGTGTTTATCTCTTACAACAGTATTTTTTCCAGTGAAAATCAAAATGAATGTAAACTGATTATAGCTGGGTGTCAGGAAAATCTTAAGAGTGATGTGTCATCAAGCACATTTTTAGGTGTCACTGTTAGTCAGCTGGAGCTACGTATGGGGAATTGTTTGGTCTGGAATCTCAGGTTAAGAGATATGAGAGAATAAAAAGTGGAAACATTTTTTCCCTTAAAACAAGACTGGATGCTAGTTGTTAGTGGGGAAAATCAGATATGTTTTCAAGGGCAGTTCTCATGAAAAGATTTAGGATAGAGGTTAAAATATAGCTCATAACTATGAAAAAGACTTTCTTCTGAACCTCTCTTTGCTCCCTTTTCTTCCTCTCTGATTTTTTATCAACATTTTATCTAATATTTTACTCTAATGTGAGTTATGTTAATTTTAATAGTGTCCTTCCATTATCTGACATTGATCCAGAGCTCTTTAGTGCTCAATGGCATAGGGTTACTGCAATTTCCTACCTCTGTGCCTTTAATTTTTCTCAAGGGAAAGCTGTTTCAGGGTTTAACATAATTAATTTCTAGCTTAAATTTGCAGTGGAAATAGGAACTAGAATTCTGCAGCATCTTAGCTAAGAGAACAGTTGCTGAATGCCTCAAAAATGGAACTAGCATTTTTCTGACCAGGTTACTGTGTTGTGCATTCATATCTATAAACTGTTTTTAACAGAGAACTATATATTCAAACTGGTTTCCACTTGGCAATTAATGATCCTTGTTCCAAGATGTACATGTGGCAGGAGAGCAAGTCGTGTATTTCCACTGGCCTAAAGGGGGACAGGATTTGAATGTGTTCCACACTCCCATGCCAGCAACTCTTTTTGGAGGTGAAGTGTAGCATTTGTATTTGCCTCCTGGGAAAGGCACCTTGTTTATTGTATGTTATTTCATCACTTCAGAAGTGATTTGTGTCCTGACAGTTTCGTACAAACAGGGAAAAAAAAAAAGCTCTGTAACATGTTTCATTTTACAGTGCTTTGCTGTAAATCCTGAAATTCCTAAGTATGAGATTTTTTTTTTTGCAATCGTTTCAAGTGCTACTGATGCCCAGCAGGAGTGATTCAGAAGCAGGTTGAATGAATATTTTTAGACATTCAATCATCTCTAACCACTGCAACCGCTGAATCAATGATACATGTGCAAAGTAATTTAAAACAGTTAACAGGTATAAACCACGTTCTTTTTAGCAAATTGTTAGTCATGAAGTGGTTTCACCTTGCACAGGAATTATGTGAGAAACTTCAAAGGGATTATCTTTTCTCCCTTTCTCCTCCCAAGACCAATAGCTGTAAAAATATGTTGTTTGGGATTAATTGCCTATCCATATATTATGTGGGTAATGTTTAAAATCTATGTGGATAGAAACAAAATTAGAACACAATCTGATACCAAATCATGTAAAGGCTCATGTAATGAACAAGATAAAATAATTTTATTGATTATTAATAATCAATAAAATTGATACTTTTATCAATTTTGATTGATACTTTTTGAACTAGTAACATTGCAAAAGCAGGAAAAGAAGGAAAAAACCCTCAAACTGCCCACCCTACAGTCTTATCCTTGTTTTCTAATGTTTCCATTTTGTGTCACAGAAATGCAGCTGTAATCACATAACAAACACAAATCTGCTGAAGATCTCCTGTCCTAAGTCTCCGGTGAAAGTACTTAACACTATGGTTCATAGGAAAATAGCAAATAACGGTAGCAGAAGATAAGTAGCCCACCTGAGAGTCCTGCTTGGTTGTTCTTACAGATTTGCCATTTTTCCTTTGAAATATATGTGATCAACTGATATTCATTGGATTAGTGGCCAAAATGGATAGTCAAGGGGAAATTAAGAAGGTGGAGACAAAAGGAGAAGAGAGGAATTTGAGAGAAGTGATAACAAGGGCCTGTTGAGACAAAAACATATTTGGATTTGTTTAGTAACATACTGCATTTTTATTTGACGACATTAAACTGAAAACTCAGGAGAAGAAAAGAAGCTAAACTATGAGGAGCATGTAGATGGTGATGGTAGTAGTAAGGAGAAGAAAAAGTGTTGAGCTAATACTGTTTCAGGTACCCAGAAACTCATCTCATTCTCTTGGAATATGAGATTTACATTTGTATGCCTGCTCAGAATTATGTGAATAAATGTTAAAATCAGAACTCTTTTCTGAATTAATTCCCTCAATCATGGAAAGCTAGTTTTTAGAAAACTTCACGTTCCCTGACTTTTTTTCCTTTATTTACTGGAATTATAGTGGTTTTGGGAGGGTACAAAGTGAGAAATTACATTGTGTTATAATATACAGTTTCAGAATTTAAGTATGTCTGATAACAAAAAGTGAGCCACATTTTCTTCTGGTGAAGACTGGTATGTCTCTGTTTTTGCCTGAGATAAGTGTTCAGCTTTCTATATTTCTTTCCATTATGTACAAATATTATTGCAGAACTAAAAAGAAAATGAAGTAAGCAAAGAGGATTTGTACTAATGGACATTCTGAACTCTAAGAAAACTTCTAGATTTACATATTTTGTGCATTTCTTAGGGTAATTTCCTTAAACAGCAGGGAGTGGTTGCAGTGTTTAGTTTTTTAGCTATGCTTCTTTAGGTATGGTTTCATTTTAACACGAGAAGAATGAGGTGTAACTGTGTTCTTTTCCATCCTGATAGACAAGCCAGTCTTAATGAAGAGGCTGAGAAGTATTATGAAATGGCAGCAGGATTAAGACCTAATGTAAGTACCTTCTTAATGATATCCAGTACATAAGCTGATGAACATGCTATGGTGCTGAACCGTTTGTGTTGAGGAGAACTTCTTGCTGGAGCATTTGCTCTCTCAGCCTGTGTTATATATGTTCTTTTAGTAGTTAATTGTTGGGTATTCAGATGAAGATGTTCATCTGTCAAACCAATCACTGCACTTTCAAGTTGCCTCAGTGAAGTGGTCTAGCCATAAGTCTTGGCCAACAGGCCAACATACTTGGAAAAGACTTCTAGATTTAGATTTATTTACCTATGTTTAAATGTGTTAAGTTTGGAACACTTTTCCAATTCCATCTCTTCACTAGTAAAAGAGAATGAAAGGCTATCCTCTGAGCCACAGTTTAAGGAATTTTTAATAATATGTTTATGCATTTTCTTCTGTCATGAACTTCTGGCAAACGTAAAGATGTTTATCTCTGATGTAGTTGTATATTGGCAAAGAAATACTTATTGTTTGAGCAGATATATATAGGAGTAAGTGACATGCCTTTTAAGAAGGGAAGCTCATTTCCAATTTTCAATGCGTCAGGAATTAAAGAAATAAAATACTTTTTACTTACCATTTTTTTACTAAATATTACATTTATTTTCAATTACCTTTTCATTTTAAGGAAAAAATCATGAATATGAATGGGGCAGAATTTATTTTAGATACATAACACTTTGGCTATGCAATAAATCAAATCTAGGAAAATTTCTGTCACAGAAGTCCAAAGTGCCAAATTCGAGGATACAAGTCAGCAAATGCAGTTAAAAAAAAAAGGAAAAGCCCAAGTTTGAAAAAAACCCCAAAAAACTAAAAAGGGTTTTCAGAGCTAAGAATCAAAAGCAACAACAAAATATAATAAAAAAAACCCATAATAACTTATTTGTATGAAATACTGTCTCTTAAGAACTCTCAAAAAACTACTTACTTCATTACTTCATACTTTGTGAAATAACAATAAAGACTTTGTGATTCATAATGCTTGCATAATGAAAGACTCTTTTGCCTTTTTTCTGAGAGGATACCTTAATATTGAAAGTATTCCCTCAGCTGACTGCAGATTGGCACAATTTTTCTTTTCTGTGCTTCATTGTATGCTCAAAATGCTTCTCAGAAACTAAGAAATAAGTTTATTGTGTATAACCCTATATAAATATGGTTATATATTTGAGGTTTCTCAGAGAGCTTTGGAGTGACTGACAGCAAGCTCATAGCAATAGTGCTCTAAAGGTTAGGTATTTCTGATTATTGATGACAAACTTTACATGTTATGACCAAAAAATCCTTTTTGAAGAATCAAATTATCAAAACACTTTATTGTAGAAAATTTCTTCTAACTTTGATTAGTGTAAGTAAAAATCTAATAGGTACTGGTGTTCAGCTTTCTTCAAAAGATGATTATGCTTTAAGGTTCTAGGTGATAGTTTAATTTTCTAGCTAAGCATGGCGTGCATATGGTTTACAACTTTTTAAGAATATTTTATTGGTGTGGAGTGGGAAACTTGTATCCATTTTCACAGCCATTATCAACTTTCTGATGACTTTACAGGGATATGTCTCAAAAATGTGAATAAAACCACAAGTAGTCATATATATTTTGCTTGCTGTTATTAACTCTCAGATTTGCCATACTAGTTTCAGACTGGGAGAAAAAGAAGCCACTCGAGGAGGCTTACTTGGTAGTAAGCAGTCTAATGTATACATGGTAAGACAGAAGCTCCCAATCTTTCCAAAGGAAAATGGAATGAAAATAATTGAAGGACTGTGTACTTCGTGGCTGCATCTGTGCTGATAAATTAAATGTGCCTGGAACGATTCTCTAGTGCTGATTGAACCAGCTGCTTTGAGTGCATCCAGGTATTGTCCTAGAGACTGCAGTGGTCCAGGCCAGAGCTGTGTAGAAACCATATTCACAGTATGAAAATGCCCACAATTGATTTTGGTATTTTGTATGTGGCCTGTGTATCCTCTCCCTGTCTTATGAATATGAAGAATCAGCAAAATTATCTGAGTCAAGAGGTAACAAAATATCCTTTAAAAGAATCGGTGCTTGAAGGATCTTTGGTTTTTTGTTTTGTTTTTTTTTTTGTATCCATCACTAATGGTCTAGAAACATTTCTTGACAGAAAATTCAAACTACTAGATGTATTCATGTGATGTAATATGCAGATTCCTACCATTCCATGTATGTAAACACATACCTATATGTATACTCGTGTGCATCTGTTTAGCTGCTAGTAGGTCTGTCCCCAAATAGCCTCTCAGTGAGAATACTGTGACACCGTTGAAGGCTCATTCTGTGCAGTGGATCAGCCTTGTTACTAGTACAATTAAGTTCTCAAAGGGTCTGCTTAAGAAGATGCTTTCTTCTGGTGCTTTAAACAGTATGTTTGGTATGAGTGAATTATGGAACAGCATCCCAAGTAAACTGGGACTCTGCTTTTTTTCAGTATGACCTTTTTTTCCTTTGGCTCCCCAGCCACTTGGCCAGATCCCAAGTTGAAGATCCATTTCTTTGTTATCAACTTCTTTCTTTCACTGTGCCAAGACAATTAAATTATCACTTATTCTTTAGAATAACTTTAGACCAATGCCTAGCTCCTGAGAGATTTTCATCTGAAACAAAACTCAAATTTCCACTCTCTTGCATCTGTTCCTTTGCAAATATAACATATTGTATAATATCTCTAATATTGCTACTATAGGATACAGTCCTTAAGAGCAATAAGAGATTTTAGTAATACTGTAAACAAGTCTTTTACTAATTTTTAGTGAATTTTTTATGCTCATTTAGCTATCATAACACAGTTTTGTTCTCAGCAGTTTATCTTCCTTTTGCATCTCATTCTTTGGTTTCTCAACCATTCTTGTTGCTTTTGAAATGAAGCAATACTGTGTGCACAACAATTCCTCATCTGCTCCCTAATGTATAAGCCCTTTGGATCCAGAAACTGCTCTGCTGAGCTTTCCTACACCCGTGTCCAGTTTAAATGGCCATCTGATTTACTACTTTCAGAGATACTTAATTGGCTATTTTAGTGCTTTTTCCAGACAGCAGTCTCCACTCTTGCATTTGTCTCCTAGACAAGCCCTTTTATTTCAGGGTCTCAAAATGGGAGAGCAGCAGTGAGCACCCATATGCCTGCATGTCTGAGTCACATTCTCATTCAACTAATCCATTTTTAGAAAAGTTGTGACTAAGGCAGCTAAAAACATTGCCAGAAACACAGTATTCAGTTACAGAAAATGTAACTTCTCTGAAACTTACAGGCTATTGTTTTTAAGAAACCAAGCATAAAAAGATTTTATTTTTGCAATATTGGCCATGATTCATTCATCACTGAACTAATTTTGAGAGGTCTGAGAGTACAGTTTGTTTTTTTCATTACAAGCCTTATTGCAATGAATGAAGTATTTGCAAGAAAAATATACTCAGTAAAGGAACAACTGAATACAGCAAAGGTGTGTTAAAATGTATATCCACATCTTGAATGCCATCCTTGCCCTTGGATACACATTATGTTTGCAGATGGTAAAAGAATTAAAACACTTTGATACAATAGCTGCACCAGCTGAAAAGGAGTTTGGATGCAAATTAAAACAAATCTGGCTGTATTAGTGTTTGAGATATAGACCTAGCTGTTTTCTTAATAATGTTCACAATTGGCCTTATTTACAATAGGTGGGTATTTATCCTCCATGAAAGTAATTTCCAGACAAATTTCAGAAGAGCAATATTTTCTGGTGAACACACTGCTGCTTTGAAGATGGGAATAATTTGTCTTTAACTTTACTAAAGAAGCAAGCATTTTCAAAGTTATGGCTATTTTAGCTTTCAGAGAGTCAACTTCCCCTGGACAGCCAAGAGGTAGAGAGGAATCCAGGAAGCAGTTCAGAAAACAAACCTACTTTTATTTGCAATCAATTATTTCTTACAGGACTGTGTTTTCTTCCTTCAACTATGTAGGTAACCTACAGAGATTAGCCTCCCTAGCCCCTTGATCTTTATGAATGCTTTCCAAAAAATATGTTACTGCATTGTGTGTTGTACCATGATCAAAACAAAATAATTTTAGAGCTTTCTCAGTGAGAAGCACATGTTTGTTCTAGCAGTGTTGCCTTGAGTGTACATTAATCACATTAGTCTAATTTTAGTAAATTCAGTTGCATGAAGAAATGAAACCATAAGTTCCTTGGACATTTATACAGTAATTATTCTGAGTGTGAGAATTGCTGAAGAAAAGCTGTATTCAGAGATGATTTCTGGGTGCCCTACATATTGTAATCTTCACAAACCAGGAAATTGTTTTAACAAGTCATTAGGCACTCTAAAATGTGAGCTTTAAGCTTGCTTTGTTGTGGAAAAATCAGGCAACCAGAAACTGTCTTTAAATTGCCATTCTTTACAAGCATGTGAGATACCAAATTAAGCTTCAGCCTTTGTTCAACTTCTAAGATATCATTTGTGTAATAGAGCTGCATTTATAATTTTTTAAGTCTGAGCCTGAAGCAGCCTGTCATTAAAAAGCTGCTCTAGAACCCCCACATATGGCCAATGGCTTTTGAGAAGAAAGGGCACTTTGAAGTGTGACCTCAAGAGTATTAAATGAAAGAGAGCTCACCAGAGCCTTAAGACTTTGAGCCACCACCTTGAGCTGATTGGCTTAGGAGCATTCCTCAAGGAGGTGTCATGACCTGTAAGTCACTACCATCCCAACCACATATTAGTGCTGCTTGCAGTCTGGAGCTCATGACAGCTTTAAGCCCCATGTCATCAGCACATTGTCAGATACAGCTGTTTCCACTCTACCACTTCAAAAGGGCTTGATTAAATGTCTTACTGTAACAACATACATAAAGACACACACGGAGAGTGAGGGGAAAGGAGAAATGTACCTATAAGCAAAATAAATACAATTTCCACTAGATGGTTTAATCATGATGTGGGGGACTAAACCAGTTTTTGACTTGAAGGGCTTATGTAA